TAATAAATAAATAATTATGTCTCTTCAAAAGGGACATAATTGATCTGTGAAATTTTATATGCTAAATAGTTTAGGGACTCATCCTTAATTACAGGAACTACTATTTATAAACAATTCTACATATTGCTAGACTATATCGATTTTACTTCATATTGGCTTGTTGTTGTCAGCATCACTCCAGAGGAGTTGTGCTGAGGCTAATATACCAAAGTCCCATTAGTGTTATTATTATATCGTGATGTTCTATTTAATACTGTAGAATTTTAAGGGGAAGTTTGAATATGGAGAACTGGGGGTAGTATCTATTTTTGGCGAATAGAATCACTGCAGAGAGAATCCTTCTAAACCCGACTACCTGCAGATGGGCGTACCATTTAATTTTCATCTTTCTAGAGCTACCCAAGAATATTCAAGGAACTTATCTCACAGATTTACAACCCATAGATTGTTTCAGCTATCAGTACTTACTATTGTTTTGGCTACCTTCTCGGGATAGGTAACTGTCGAAGTGATCTATTACTGGATTGGAATAAGACCTTTTTGAAAACTTGTAGAAAAAGACACCAGGTACCACGGAAAAGTGATCACCAAGCTATCTTTACCGAAAGCGAACACCTTATACACCTTACAACTTCTGGCGATTTGGTAACACTAACCAGACGATTGTTACGCTATGAAACCTTTTCTAAAAATCATAATCTCAATGCCCACTGGATTAGCATGTGATACAGCTTCTCATGAGAAACAGCGCTTATATAGATTATGGCGCCGAATACCATATTAATTCTATTCAACTGCCTTCATATAGGGTTGAACTAGTATCTTGTGATTTGACCTGTGGAGTGTTAATCATTATACTATAGACCTACAGGTCTCAATTTTACTATATAATTTATTATAAAAAATATTATAAATTAATAAATTATATAATAAAATTAATAAAAACTGCACTTCAGAAAGTTATTTTTTAAATTAGGCAAATTTGAAATTTGAAAATCAATTTTTTGACAACTGTTTTTATCAAAACATGTCAACTTTTTTGTCAATAATATAAAAGGACCTAGATTTTAACATATAAATTTTAAAGAATTTTTGATTATGTAAATTATTGATATATGAATCATTTTTTTATAATTTTCAAGTTAAAAAAATTCAGTGAAAAAATAATCTCTAAAATTTGGTTCTTATCTATAATTTGTTTTGGCAATCACAAGGCTCTGAAAAAAATTAGAGAGTTAGGAATTGCAATAAACTATCTGTCTTAACATTTTTAAAATAATTGGAATAGATTTGAATTTTTATAAATGGTACAGATACTTATAATCTGAACTGTATATCTTGTTATATACAAATTAAATAAGAAAATAATATTTATCTATAAAAAATAATAATAATATATAAACTATATAATTATTTAATATACAGTAATAACAATTTCTTGCAAAATACTTATTGGTAATAATAATTTATTAATTTAATTTATATATTAAATTTTCAATTTCGAAACAACACAAGAATAATTTAATAGGAATAATAATATAATTTATTATTTTATAAGTAGTTTGTTCATTTTCTAGCACCAATAAAAGATAGATTGCATGTTGTGTAACCGGGTCAGTAAATCCGGACTTTATCGTTATGTTACAATTTATTTAATTTTGTTAAACGAGCGGACGTGCAATTGCCTATTTGACTTTCGATTTTGGCCACCGGAATATTTAATGCCACCAATAATTCGATCCCTATTATGAGGAAATTTCTACTGGGAAAAAGAATTATAGGGGCAAGAAACAAAGTGTGGGAATATTTCGAATTGGCATTTGTTTTTCCGATTAGCTCCGGTGGATCTTTCCTTTAAAACCGGAAATCTATCCTGATGAAAAAAAACCAGCCAATCCCAATTTCGGAACTGTGCGTAACTATTCCTTTTGAGTTACCATTAGATGTTAGTTTCTTATAAATTAATCTTCCCATGGATCAATAAAGGTTGCCCCCAAAATTTTCACCAATACCTAATCACCATTATACTGATATTGATCTGTACTTTTCTTTACAGTTGGTTCCCAGCGATATATCCATATTGCATTACCCCTTCAATATGCCGGTGTGCACATCCTGCCATCAAACTAAACAAGACGAGGCTTTCTTCCACAAGAACAAAAAGTGGAAAACTTGTCAAAATTGTATCGAACAGAGGGCGCTCAAAAAACAAAAAACAAAAAGAAAACGCGATGACCAAGCCGTTGAAGAGGAGGAACCATTACGAGTTTCTCTCAGAACAGTAGGACTAATGGAATTATCTAACCTTGTCGCCAACGAGATACGTAATATTGTTCACAACCCTCAACCAATGGGTTCTGACGGGAATCCACAGTGTTCCTTGAACTTGCGTGTGGCTCTCAACCTTACAAATATGATAACCGGTAATGAAAATCCCAAGGACATTGCAAGGTGGATTGTTGAAGAAATTGAGAGAGCCGATGAGTATAATTGGACGTAAGTTTTGTCTTTTCAACTATATTTACTCACGGTAAATTTAATGATAGTTTTAAGTAATTATTATTGTCTATTATATGTATATATATGTATTGAAATGATTTTAACATAGTTATAATTGTATGAACACCTCAATGCGTCACAAAGATGTTGCAAAGTTCTACTATGTTTGCAGTCAATCGGTAGTAGCAATGAAAGAGTATAAAGAAGGGTCGAACAGGAAACGAATGGAGCGTTTCCCATGTCAAGGAAAAATGCAGATGAAAATTGATATGCCAGCAGCAGAGGCAATGTTGGAAATCCATCACGGTATTCTTCATAATCGACCGGCAGTCACCTCTGAGATTAGCGAAGAATGCAAAAAGGAGATCGACGAAAACCTTCACTGCAACCCCATTCATCTACGACAAATACTCAGAGCCAAGAACGTTATGAAAAATTATACACCCCGACAAATTCATTCATATTGGGAAAGGGCAGCAGGGAATAAACTTCCGGATCTTGTCTCACAATTTTCAGTTGCGCAGGTCATTCAGTCTCCTGTAATCACTACAAATATTGAAAACAGTTTTATTATACCAACCATGACAGCCATTCCATACCCATCACTACCTTCGATGCCTATTGTATCAAGCACACCGTCTCCTGCTCTACAGAAAAATAATTCGAAGGAACTCTCAAAAGTGGGAAACCGTCAATTTAACCACGATGAATTTGCTGAATATGTGACAAAGATGGAACAATTTGCAAAGAGATGCAGGAATCAATTGGATCGCCAAAATTACATTTGGTTGGATACTGTGAAAATATTGACGGCCGGTGTTATCGAAATGGAGAATGATATTGAAGAACTAGAAAGACAGCGTGCCAGCGAACGCGGAGCCACCAAACCATGGACAATTCACTATAAATAAAAATTATTCCATACGTACATGTTTTATTAAGATTCACATTTTTTCCATATTTTTTTTTTTTTTAAAAAAAAAAAAATCTATTCAATAAATATTTGATTTAACTGACTTTCTATTTGTAATTTAAAAAATGGAGGTGCCGGGATGTGTTCATGGTTCACATTTTTCTTTAACATTATAAGGGTGGTGAACAGAACATACAATATCGCCAAGCACACGTGTTTTTTTCTTATAATTTTTTTATTTTAAATAAACATCTTATTAAAGAATGCATACATTTGTAACGGGGCTTTTGTGTTAAGAGAGTACTCTCAATATTTCCAAGGCTCTATCAAATTTTGTTTTTGATATTGACGTTTCATCGTCATCATCGTTGTTTCCATTGATCTGTTCTGGTTCTGGCTCATTGACGATAGCCTGAGCTTCCTTTGACGTAGACTAAACATTAATCACAAAACGATTAATACTTTCTATGAGTTGAAATAAATAATAAAAGCGCCCAAACATTATTGTGAATTAGAAACACACCTCACGTGCGTGACCCGCTAAATCTGCTATATAATCCAAAAATATCTTGAAAAAATCGTCGGGGAACTATTTTTTTTTTTTTTTCGAATTAGGTAAAAAAAAAAAACGGAAATTCTGAGAGAGAAAAAAAAACAAATATTCGATACCATGTCTCTATCGTATACATGTTTTAAAAGCCAGATTTGACGTAGTTTTTGGAACTTCCAATTTGACCTACAAAACTTCCACTCGACAAGATAAAGTAACGCTGAATAAACACAGAAATACAATTAGTAAATAAGCGTACATATAGTATAAATTTGACAAATATTCAAACACCTATTTTTGCTGCCGTTGGTAATTCCTTAGGAATGTTAACTTCTGATTGCGTTATTAAGAATTCCAAATTTCCCAAAGTATTCTTTGCATGCTTCATCTCTTCTGTTCTTGAGATCTTTTCTCGTTCTTCCTTATCCTCGCTAGAAATTTTAATACCTTTGGTTTGTTTATGAAGGGCTCTTCGCTTTTGAGATGCCTCCTTTACTACATTATCCACGAATTTTCTTTTATGCCCTTTTTTTAAATTAATTTCTGATGCCTCCACAGATGTATTATTCAACACCAAAAATTTCTTCCAATTGGGAACGCGTTTTTGCGTGTTTCCATCTTTGGGATCAGACATACGGCACGTATGTAAATCTGAGAATACCTAGATACGCATATATTTTTGTTGAATGCACGTGGTCTAATCAGATGCAGTGATTACGTAGAAATTACAAGTTTTCATAAATTCGGGACAAAGCCTATAATCAACCTTTTTTTTAATCTACTTTTCCTTCGCTTTTCCATTGGTTTCAGAATAATTTTATCGTATACTCGTTACCATCGCACTAGATACTCTCCTAGAGTTATAGAATGGGTAAGAGTTACTCCAGTAATGGAATAAGGCCGAAGTCATCAACAATCCTTACGGTTTTTCTTTATTAGGCGCATATCTGAGTAGAAACTTGGGACGATTGTGGGGTGAAAAGGAAGTTCGAATACTGATTTTGGGTCTTGATGGGGCCGGAAAAACGACAATATTATATCGGTTACAGGTGGGTTGATTTTTTCTTTGAGAAAGGTGACAGGGAAAACAGATTTACACATTATTATTATTATGATAGATTTAGTTTGAATAGATCGATCAAGTATTAATCAATGCTCATACTATTATGATCTCTAGCCTAAATTTTAATTTGTTTTTGTTTCACTAGATCGGAGAAGTTGTTACAACCATTCCAAGTGGGTAAAAATTAAATCACATTTTCAAACTCTATCCACAATATCATGGCATTGATTTACGACTCTCTCAATAGCTATCGGGTTTAATGTTGAAACTGTAACATATAGGAACATCAAATTTCAAGGTAATTCAAAATGTTGAGTGATTAAATAAGGAGAGATTTTAAACTTTTTTTTTTAAAAAAAAATAGTTTGGGATTTAGGAGGTGAGAATATAAAATCTGATTTTTGCAAGTATTCATAATAATTTTGCTGCCTACGTTTTGTTTCATTAACTCTTTATTGTCAATTTACCTAGGTCAAACAAGCATAAGGTATTTTTTTGTACTTTCATTGATATCTCCTCTTATACACATGTTAACATATATACTCTCTACTTTTCCTAGACCTTACTGGCGGTGTTATTATGCAAACACCGATGCCGTGATATATGTTGTAGATTCGGTAGATCATGCTCGTCTGAGTACCTCAAGAGAGGAGCTTCATGCCATGCTAGAGGAGGATGAATTACGTGATGCTGCACTATTGGTTTTTGCAAATAAACAAGATATGGTTGGCGCAATGACTTCTGCTGAAGTCTCAGATGCTCTGGGATTAGGAACACTAAAAAATCGACAGTGGAGCATCTATAAGACAAGTGCCGTAAAAGGCGATGGCCTGACGGAGGGTTTAGATTGGTAAGTTAAATAAGTAAATATATATGCTCACTTTTACGGTTAGTGGGGAAATTGATTCGAAATTTCTGAATTAACCTCATCTCCTGTACATTTCTATTAGGCTGGTAAATATTATTCAGGGTAACAAACAATGATTATCAGGACCAAGGAAATTATAAATTAAAACTTTTAATTATTTTTGTTAGTCGGAATCTTGATTTTAATAGGTTATTATAATTTTAGACTTTATTGACATGTTCTACTACTTTGTCGTTTTTATTTATGAAACCTTTTTTTTTTTAATACATTTATAAAATGCATCAGGTGAATCCTCAAACATTATTTTTGTGATATTCAAAGGAAATTTGTAAAACATAATCATTAACATTAATTATATAGTTTTGTTTTAATGTAATTTTCGAAAATTTAAGGAGCCAATGCGTTCCAAGCTAATCAAATAAATACTACGAATATAGAAATTTAATTTCTCTTACAAAAATAACGATTTCTTCAACCATTCTTGACAAGTTGGTTAAATTTAATGTGTCAATTCTTTTAATCTATATCTCACTATATGCTTTCTATGCAGACATGATTATATAGTAAAAAAATAACCAAAATTTTTTGTTAATACTTTTGTCGATTCTAAAACAAATATTTTAAAATAGTATGTTTATTTTGATGATAAAATTTACATTTTATTTTAAAAATATATAATGACTTATACTTCTTAATTTTTTTTTACTACAGATAAATATTAATTAAATACATGATTTTATTACCATATATTAATTGTTTTATGTCGATATTAGTGGAGTTAACAGCAACTTATTTTAAAATTATTAAAATAATAAGCAAATAAATAAAAGAAAACCAATAAAAACTTTATTAAAACCTATCAATATTAATAATTTTTATTTTTATTTTTTTTTCCAACTAGCGAGGCCTTGCCCAACATACTTTATTTAGTTTACATGTGTATTTCTTGTTACAAGACTTACTATCTATAA